TATCATACAAACAATTAATATCTCTCTAACCCCACAATAATAAGACATATAATAATATTAAATTAAAAAATATATATATAAATTAGACATATAATGCAAATCTTGAAATTACTTAATACACAAATAAATTAATAAATATAAAGTTAAAACAAAAAATAAAGGCAAAGATTAAACTAGTTATAATGCAAATCTTTATTTTATTTTTGGTTTTTTATTTTTCTTACTATTTCTTTGATTACTCTTATTTTTTCTTAACTTTGCCTTTTTTTTTTTAACTTCAAGAGCATTTTTAAGTATTTTTAGTAACTTTAAAAAGTTTTAGTGATAACAAAGTTTTTCTTCTTTTAGTTTATTAATTTCAAAGTCTATAGTTAGAAATTTTAAATTTTTATGATTAGTTGTTTTGATTTTTATGATTAATGATTTTCATTTTATAATTGATTTTAATTTTGGTCTTAGGAATTATAATTCTTTATTATTATTAAAAAAATAAACAAAAAAAGATAAAATCAAAATACAAAAAAAATATATATATTTAGTTCTTTGGATTAATTTGAGGAATGAGAATTTTTGTAAGTGTTTATTGGACTTCGCACGTGACTTAGGTGTGACATTGAATCACATTAGAGATTTGTGACCTTAATTTAATTATTATTTAATTAATAATAATAATATTTAATTATTAATAATAAAAGATTAATTAATAGAATGAAGAGAAAAGTTATGTTGGGTAGTTACTATGGTAAATATATTATTGGTAGGTGACTGCATTTTTAAAAAAATTCAGGACGTGTCTTATTGCATTTGTTAATTAATAGTTATTTAAAATATAAGAATGTGACTTTCAGATGTTTTAAATGATAGAGTTAATACTAAATATATTTATATTTAATTAATTAATTAAATAAAAACAATTTAGCGGAGAATCTTTGATGGAAATATTATAAGATTATATAATAGATATATATAATACTTGCCATGTTTGATGAGAATATAAATAAAATAGTTTTTAAAGATAAATTTATTTAGTAAATTCTGGATCAAATAATTAAATCAAAAAATTTTTACAATTATTTATATGAGGATATTTTGGTAAAAAAATATATAATGTAGAGGTAGGGGAATAAATGATGGGGTATGAGGTAAAATTTTCCTCTTTCCTTTGTAGAATTAGATTTGGGTCTTGGACTGTTTTAGAATGATGAATTGAATCTTAGTCTTGTTTGATGATTTAAAATTGAAAGTGGATTGAAATGGATATATGGAAAGAATAAATGGATATGAATTTTAATGGTTTAAGTTTGAATTTAAAAAAAGGATTGATAATGGTTTTACAGATGAATATGACTTATGGACAAAAATTTGGATTTGGGTTTGGATAATATGAATTTAGAGAAGAAATGTGGTTAATTGGATTTGAAATTGACAATGATGGATTGAAAATGGATATAAATAGATTTAAATGGATTATGAACTTAAAAAAAAAAGTTTAATGGATTAAAAAGATGGATTTGGAAAATAATGTGAATATTGGAAAATAATGTGGGCGTGATATGGATGTGAATTTGAAATGGATTTAATATGGACATAACTATAAAAATGGATAATTGGTTTCACAAAAAAAAAACAATGGATATGACATGGATGGATTAAAAAGAACATGGATATAGTTACGGTTTTATAAACTCGTGTCTTGAATTCCCCACAACTCACACGATTGGCCTTGACCTGTCTAATTTCAGTCAAATTCTCAATCCATGCCAAAATCATATCCTCAATAAATTCCAAAAATTCAAATAGTAAGCTCAAATGATCATGACATAATGTCCTTCAAATCAACCCACAAAATGCTTTGTCCTGATAACCACAGATCCCCTTAGCGGGACGCTATAATCTCGTGACCCTCAATTGATGAAAATCCAACAAGCTCAACCACGAATCAGAACCCTAATCTTTCTTGAATGCACACTATTGCCTCTACTTGGGTGAAGTAACCAACTGAAACCCCTCTGAATAGAGAACCAATATTACAAGAAAGTTTTGACCCTATGTCTTAGGAAGCCGATGCAAAACATGATAATGAGTTATAAACTAAATGAGATGCAGATGAAGGCAAAATAAAAGTCAGTTAAAGTTAGAAACAGAGAGGGAAAATTTTGGGGTGCAACAATACTGTCGTACAAGTTTAAAGTAACTTGATGATATACAACGATATGATGAAATTTGAATTGAGTATCAGATTTATATCTTCACAAATAAATGGATATTGAGAAATTGTGATTTTAAGAAAATACTAATGTCAATGCTGATTCTTGATTCTAAATGATTTTAGAATATAATGCTCTTAATAGAAGCATAATTTCAATATTTTCATTGATTAAAAATATTGATTCTCCACTTTTCAATATAATTACATAACTGACATTTGACATTTCTTATCTTTTAGTGAAGAGGTTGATCCTTTGGATATTATCATAATTACGATACTGTCATTGATTAAAAATATTATTCTCTTGATGATAAGCAAAATTATGATAATTCAATTCATTAGACTTTTAAGGTAAAGTTTGATCCTTAATATGAGAAAGAATTACGAAAATACCATTATGTGCCTTATTTTCTTTGTCACACTTTATATTTTGTGTTTCTTTCAAACATATGATTTTTTTTTCTTGTAATGACCTTAATAATACACTTGAGAATCGCTACTTCTCTCATATCATTGATGATAAGCTTTATACACACATGTATTATTTATTTTCACTCAAGAGCACACATCAAATAACAAATAAGATCGTAATTTAAATTATATTTACACAAAAGTTTATTATCTTTAAAACATCAAAAATATTTTTCCTCAACACATAACACTTCACCCTAAGATATCTTGGACTCTCCTTTCACACCTCCACAAAGGAACCGCATTTAGATCAGGAGTAAGATCTTCCAAACTTTGACAAATATTTTTAAAAATACAAGAAGAAGTCATCTATAACATTAAGAACAAAGTTAAGAAGAATAACTTTTCCCCCAGAGGCTAACATACCCAGGATCTCAAGAATTAAGTCTCTTATGCACCAGGTTTACTAGAGGTTCGCATGTAGCTTTCAAATGAGGGTTGACTCCCATTGGAAAACCTAAATACCAGAACAATAAAGACTAAATCCAACAGTGAAGAAAACCCCTTACTAACTTCAAAAAGAAAGGGTCCACATTAACCCCAATCAAACTGCTCTTATGAAAATTGACCTCAGTGCCTAAAGTTAGCTCGAACCCCTTAAAAATAGCTTTTATGACCCATAGATTATCGATTGAAGGATCGACCAAAATTAAGGTATCATCGACATACCAAAGATGAGAAACCTCTAAATCATAAGAACTAACTCTAAACCCAGAAGAAAAAAAAAACCTAGCTCTATAGCCTTTCTAATTAACCCAGTAAGAACTTTTGCCACAAGAAGGAAAAAGAAAGAAGTTAAAGGGTCCCTAGAAAAGACAACCAGGTTACTAGAAAAGACAATGCTCTAATCTAGGATCTCCACTTGATATCAAAGTCAAATCAGAAGAACATATAATTCAAAAAGTTCCAACTAATTGAATCATACACTTTTTCAAAATCAGCTTTAAAAATGACAAATGCCTTTCTAAAGCGTTTTGCCAAATCAACCATCTCATTAAGCCTTTCTAAAGCGTTTTGCTAAAAAAATTGATTCAATTTGGTTCCGTAATGTTACTTGTGTTAACATATTTGATCCCTTCCGTTATTTCAAGTGTTAGACCGTTGGTAAATGGTAGGGTGGCGTGTCAACCATGAAATGAGTCAGCAAAAATAATATAAATTAAAAAAAACAAATAACTTTAAATTAAAAAAAATATAAAAGTTATTAATTAGTTAATATAAAAAAATTATATGACCAATAACTAACTCAGAAAAATATAAATAGAATCAAAATTAACTCAAATTAATTAATTTATATAATTAACTCAGAAAAATATAAAAATTAAATTAATTAAAAGTAAAATCACTACAAACTTGTTAATTTTTAACAACAGATTGATTCTAAAAAAAAGAAAAAAATAATATGTTGCAAATTTTGTATAATTAGATAGAACAATGAATAGAATGCAGTTAACTAATCTCTCAATTTCAGATCCCATGTCAACAACTATATCTTTAAGCTCTCTCAAAATATCACTTAAATTCGACAGTGCATCATCTTGCTTCTCTTTTTCAAACTGTTTCAGTATTTTTTTAGCATCTTAATTTAATATCCACACAAAATATTGTGCAAAGTAAAGAGGATACCACAACTGAAAATTATCCATGTTAGACTACCAGTAAACAGAGAGTCTAGAAGTATGCAGAATATTATTAATGGCGGTAAATAAAACAGATTTGATGCAAACTATTAATCTGATCAATAGAGCTGTAACTATAGTAGAGAGTAACTCAACAAAGATTAAAATTGGATTTATATTTATATCAGAAGAAACTAACAAAAACACCTAATTTGATATAAAAACATTTGGATAAACCAAACATTGTTATCCTAAAAATCATAACGGACACCTAATTTGTATTAAAAATGTTTGGATAAATGAGACACTGTTATTAAAATAAACAAAAAATTCAGTAGTAATCATCTTAAAAGGTTCCAAAATCAAATATGACAGCTGAATCAGACAGAGAGAATATTTGTTTAATATGAATAAATCCAAACGTGACGACATTAGGAAAGTAAAACCACGTGTACAGAAAAAAGCCAACAGTAAATGGAAATAAGAAACGAAACCACTTTGAATCTAAAATGGACCAATCCAATGAACCGCAACGTTTTACTAATCAATCCAAATTTGACTCAACTTTGAAAATCAACGTCAATTAATATTAGGATACTCTAATTCCTATCGTCATCAATACTATATAGAAAAGTTTCAACACACTTCTTCCCAATTCACAAAACTCTGTCAGGTCAAAGTTCAATTCTCGATCGGAAAAAATGGCCGGCGTTGATTATCTAGCTTTCGAGAGAAACAAAGCACAATTCGATGTCGACGAATTGAAGATCGTTTGGGCTGGTTCTCGTGAGGAATTCGAACTTTCCGATCGGATTTCTCGCCTCGTTGCTAACGATCCGGTGAATTTCCTCTTTTATCCTTCTCGTTTTGTAGCTAGCTTTTATGGTTTCTGCACTCTACTGTTTATTTTCTTGATGATGAGTGTGGCTTGGTTGATTCTTCGTCATTTCTAGGTATTCCGAAAGGATGATAGAGCTAGTCTTGATAGGAAGGAGTTATTTAAGAACACTTTGAGAAAAGCAGCTTATGCATGGAAAAAGATTATTGAGCTCCGTCTTACGGAACAGGAAGCTAATAAGCTTAGGACCTTTGTGGATCAGCCTGCTTTTACGGATCTTCATTGGGTATAATTCAAATTATGTCATGTTCTTTTTTGTTTTGTTTATGCAATGGAAGTTGTAGTGGTAAATTTTAGTTATTCATATTCTTTTGTAGGGGATGTTTGTGCCTGCCCTCAAAGGACAAGGAACTGATGAGCAGCAGGCGAAGTGGTTGCCTCTAGCTAATAAGATGCAAATAATTGGTTGCTATGCCCAAACCGAACTTGGTCATGGATCCAATGTTCAAGGGCTTGAAACAACTGCAACGTTTGATCCAGAAACAGACGAGTTTGTTATTCACAGCCCCACGTTGACTTCCAGCAAAGTGAGTGAATTCGGTGATGTCTCCTGAGAGTCCGTTCTAGTCTTCTATAATTATTATGCTGTTTGGGATTTTAGAATCTCCTGAAGTCTGTTCTAGTCTTTTATAATTATTATTCTGTTTGGGATTTTAGAATCTTACATCATTATTTAGTATCTTGGCAAGTACATTCAGGAAAAACAGTTCTGAATTTTCGATTCTCTCTTAGGATATAGAACAATGGTTAATTTAATTAGAATAGTTATATGCCAAACCCCTGGGATTAGCCTGTTGGTGAGGGCTTGGGTTTTGAGATTGGGCTTTTTTCAAGGTCTTAGGTTCAAATCCTGCTAATTGCTAACAATTTATGTGTTGGGGCAGTCCATACAGAATAGTTATAGTTAATTACTTGTTGATTTGGATTAGTTAGAGAGTATACTCTATTCACAAACTAGTACAATATTCCAAAGATACTAGCTAATCTTTGTGTTATACTATTTATACATACATTAACTATAACACCTCTTACCTACATTAACTAATAACTACTCTAGCCATTATTCTATATCCTAAGATTCTGCCTGGCATTCGAGGAGGACTGTGTTTGTCTGTATTGGATATATCTCACTCTTTATTGTTGATTTAAACAGTGGTGGCCTGGTGGGTTGGGTAAAATATCCACACATGCTATTGTTTATGCCCGTCTTATTACTGATGGTCAAGACCAAGGAGTGCATGGTAATTACCGGACTTAATCATCCAATTATCTGGTGTTAGACACTAACATAAATCTACTAACTATATGATGTATGTCTTTTTTGAAGGTTTCATTGTCCAGCTGCGGAGCTTGGATGATCACCTGCCTCTTGCAGGCATAACTGTTGGAGATATTGGAATGAAATTTGGAAATGCAGCATATAACAGCATGGATAACGGAGTTCTAAGTTTTGACCACGTACGAATTCCAAGGAATCAAATGTTAATGAGGTAGTTCAATTTTACTTATTTGCCTTTTCTGGCTTCACCAACCAAAAATCTAATAATTTATACTACATAAACATAAGTGATCTGTAGGGGCAAAAGTGACTACAGTCCAAGCCACTAGGCAATGTCTATGTGGGTGATTCCTCAAGATGGGAGTCTGAGTCAAACTCAAATAGTATTAACCAATACATGAATAAAAATAATTTTAGTCAGTATCTTCAGTAAATATTGATAGCTAGGTTATTTATGGTATTGTGAGTATCAATTAAGTGCATTTCTCTGGCACCTACTTTTTAAACCAGGCAAGCAGTTAAATGCTTAGGACCAAATGTCTTGATAATCAAATATTAAAACATCAACACTATTATTTGTTACTTCTTTTTTAATGCAAAGGTAACCCTGATAGAAATGATGGTTAAGAAAAACAAACGGGAACAAAAGGCTGTGTACAGCCTGTGTAGAACTCATCACTATTGTGATATGTGGGGGGAATGTATGTGACTGCAAGCATGTCTTTAGATTGGCCTTTTCTAACCATTGTCAATATAATAATTCAGACGATTCCTCTGTTTTTCCAATCTACCAGGGTTTCACAGGTCACCAGAGAAGGAAAATATGTACAATCCAGTGTTCCAAGACAATTAATTTATGGTACTATGGTATATGTGAGGCAGGCAATTGTAGCTGACGCCTCGACTGCTTTGTCACGAGCAGTTTGCATTGCTACTAGATATAGTGCTGTTCGAAGACAGTTTGGATCTCAGAATGGTGGTCTTGAAACACAGGTAAGGTTTAAAACATGTGGATGCAAGTATGTTGCTTGTCAGAGAATTCATAGTTATTAGAGATTTTGCTAATGGAAAATTTTTCAATAAGTAAATTAGCGGGAAGCGAAAAGAAAAGTTTGGACCAAAAATCATGAATTACAATTAAAATATATGCCAATTCATTTTAATTTGGTTGTGTAAATTTAGATAGTTATCTTTTCACAACCAATTTTTTTTTTCAAATTTTGTAGCAGGAAGGTGGATGAGATTCTTCCTCATCTTTTCAATAACTATTTGATATTGGTTGGCTACAATAAAATTGAATGGTTAGAATAGACTTTTTAATTTTGATGCGCGTCTTACTTTATGCTCTCTGTTTCGATTTAGGTGATTGATTACAAAACACAGCAGGCTAGACTCTTCCCATTGCTAGCTTCTGCATATGCTTTCAGATTTGTTAGTGAGTGGCTGAAATGGCTTTACACGGATGTGACTCAAAGATTACAAGCTAATGATTTTTCAACATTGCCTGAAGCCCATGCATGCACTGCTGGGTTGAAATCCTTGACTACTACCGCAACTGCTGTATGTTACTACTCAGTAGTTCTTATGCTCATTTCTTTGCTGATTGGTCTTAATTGTTCAATTTAATTATTATTTTTTTAACTTTTTTAGATTTCATTTAAACATTGTTTTTTGATGGATTTATATGTGGGATTTTTGTTTTCCTTTTGCGAGATTCCATAAATGTTACCGACAGGTTTCCTCCCTTAATCTATCTTTCTATGTTAAAGTCCATTTCCTCATTTCTATATTACCACCATATACAGTTCATTTTGTTATTTGAAATGTGAATGTTTTGAAAACATTGCTGGGTTTTATTGTGCATATAATTCCACATCCTCCTTGTTATCAGTTTGAAAGTTGAAGTTAAAAATTAACACTACAAACAATAGCATGTTTGATTTATATACTTTGCAAGATCAATTTTACATAAGAATTATATTAATAGTCTGGATTTTCATCTCGAAAGGTTACTTGTCCTGAAATGCAGATCATTATATTTTGCTTACCATTAATTTTTTGTTCATGGCATCTGTTTATTTGTGGGATAACTGACTGAATGAGTAATCTTCTCCACGTTTAAATTATTAGGATGTTTTTGTTGCTGTCGGTGTGTTTTTTCCCTTTAATTGTACTGTGTCATATATGTGTTCTTCATTTTGTAGCTGTGAACTTTTTTTGAAGTTCAAATAAAATTAATTAACTTTCATTCGTAGGATGGAATTGAGGAATGCCGTAAACTATGTGGCGGTCATGGTTATCTTACTAGCAGCGGTCTACCTGAGTTATTTGCAGTTTATGTTCCTGCCTGCACATATGAAGGGGACAATACTGTGCTACTTTTACAGGTTCTTTACTCTTTCAATATCTTATACATCATTCCATTTTCCATTGTTTAATAATCTCTGTTGATTTGCCTACGTACTTCGATGCAGACACGTGAAATCTTTATGTTTAAGATATGCCTATTTGTTTCCTTATTACTTTTCCGTGCCTCACTTGCTGCCTGATTTAGGATGTTATTTTAGGAATTATCTTGGGATGTTTAATTACGTCTAGAAAATCTCATGTAGGTGGCAAGGCATCTCGTGAAGACTATTTCTCAGTTGGGCTCTGGTAAAAAACCTGTTGGTACCACAGCTTATTTGGCTCGAGTAGAACAATTGTTGCAATATCAATCTGATGTTACAAGAGGTATAATGAAATTGTAGTCTTCTGATATCTTAGTCAAATATAGTTTCGTTTAATATCAGTAAGCACACATGTTTCCTTGATTTGTGGTTTTATACTTAGTTTTTATTCCTTTCAGCTGAGGATTGGTTGAAGCCTAATGTAGTGATTGGAGCATTTGAAGCTAGGGCTGCCAGGATGAATGTGGCTGTTGCTCAAAATCTCAGCAAGTTCACTAATCCTGAAGAGGGTAAATTATTCAATATATCATATATTATTGTTTGAATTACAAGCTATATTGACCTGTCCTGTTTTGCAACTTTTTGTACTTTCAGATGGTATAGGCGTGTCTTGATTTATTAATGTCCGGATATTATTGTTATTTGCTAATGGTTTTTCTGACCTTAGGTTTTCAAGAACTCTCGGCTGACTTAGTTGAGGCAGCAGCTGCTCACTGCCAGTTAATTGTTGTTTCCAAGTAAGTTTCTATTGAATTTACATGTCATTTGCTTGTAATTAATGTGTTGCTGGTTTTTATTCTCGTGAGTTTCATGATCTCTAGATTTAGTCCCCTTGGAGACAACCATAGTGAAATTAGTCCAAAAAAAGTACCCAATGTAGTAGTAAATTTGAAAGATATATTAATGTTAATACATTTAAGTTGATTAAAACCTTGTGTTTTTTAGATTTATAGAGAAGTTGCAGCAAGATATACCTGGAAAAGGAGTAAAACAGCAATTACAAGCTCTTTGCAGCATTTATGCTTTATTTCTTCTTCATAAGCATTTGGGAGATTTTCTTTCCGCTGGCTGCATCAATCAAAAACAAGGATCACTTGCAAACGAGCTTTTGAGGTCCTTGTATTCACAGGTTTGTCCTAACAATATCTCGTCAGTATCATTTTCTGCTTTATATTAACTATACTGTAAGAAGGCTGATGATTTATTTGTGGTTAATTAGGTTCGTCCTAACGCAATTGCGCTCGTTGATGCATTCAATCACTCTGATCACTTGCTTGGTTCAACTCTTGGGCGCTATGATGGAAATGTGTATCCTAAGTTGTATGAAGAGGCATGGAAAGATCCTTTGAACGATTCAGTTGTTCCTGATGGCTTTCATCAGTATGTTCAACCAATTCTTAGGCAACAACTACGTAATGCCAGACTCTAGAGTATTTTATAATTGAGCTACTCTTTAATAACGTTGAATGAAGAATAAATAAATGTAGAAGAATACATAGCAGCGGAAATTTGATAATGAGTTTATTTCCATGTTTAATAATATTCACGAGAGGAAGTAGCAATTCGGTGTGTCTTGAATGTAACTAAAACATCATTATTTATTTATGTATACTTGACCCCTCATGCTTCATTACATTGGTCTTGTTTCTTGAAATATTTGATTTTTACAATCCATATTATAGTCACTTATTATCATCATTTATCTATAATCCATGGTCGTGATCATTAATCACTTGAGTAATGTTTTTTTAGAACAATCAAATTTACTAATTAAAAAATGACTATTCAAACTAATCAACCTGTAAATTGATTTTGTAAGATCATAATTGATTTGTTTTTGTTAGAAAGTAATAGGATTTATGAACGAGTAATCAAACTTATACGAAGTTATAGAATTCATGATATCACCATTTGTCTGTCTAATTAGCAGTAGATTTAAAAATCTAACTATCTGACCATTTTTTTATTCATAAAAACTCTTAATTATAGAGAAAAGAACCAAGTAAGAATGATAAACCACATTCGTGACAATTGTTTTGTTTAGCTATTCTCACCTGATTGTGTGCTAGAAGTTAATACACTCTAAAATTGATTTTCGACGGGTGAAATTCTATCATTTTTACGTCCTCGATTATGTTGAAATTAAGTCTTAATATAACACGTGTTGGAAAGATCCATCATCTTCACTATCAGTATCAATAGTAAGTGCACCTAGGCATTTCATTTTACACAAGAATGTGTTGATAGCTACTTCTCTATTGATTTCACTATTGTCATAGAATCTTTGTGTTTACTTTTAGGATTTTGACTTTATGTTAGCTCATGGTTCTTTTGGACAATAATGAAACTTTGCCAATGATAAATGTTCCTCTCATTTTGATTGTTAGACAAGTAATCAAAAGTTGTATTGGTTGATGACTTATGATGTCCAAAGGTCACTAGTTCAAAAGTTGTATGAAGAAAACTGACAAGTTTTTTCCCCGTATGGTCACTGGTTCAATCATTTCAATACAAACCATTGTCCTCAGCCACGCAACAACAAATAATAAGAGATAGACATGTGCAAATACTTAAGTATCTCAATAGGTCTTACTAGAACTTATAATTAACCATTTGATGTGTATCAAGAACTGCTATATATTAGATAATTATTTCCAATCCAAAATTTCTAATCAATAATCAATGATACTGATGCTAACTTAAGTCACATTGCAATTTGAAGAAAGAATAACTTCGGTTTGTTGTCATTGGCATATTTTAAAATTGTAGGGAAAAGTAAAAACCTGATGATGGCCTGTCATGCGAGTTTTGGGGTGCTTGTTGATGAAGGGTTCCCAAAAGAACATTGTGAAATTATCAGATCCAGAGACCAATCTTTCAGGGGCATTACCTCTCATTGCTTTGTACCTTTCAACAGCGACCTACATACACAAGCAGTATAAACTAGTATTAGTAAAACAAAGATGAAATAAAAGTAATTTCTAGAGAAAGGAACTTGTGAAGTAGAGAAACAAAATATATAAAACTGATAATAGAAATATTGAATCAATTCACAAAAAATATTTTAATCAAAAATCGAATTAAAAAAGAAAAATTGGGTACACACCTTTTTTATTCTCGAGTAATTGAAAGTGGGGTGTACACTTTGTTCAAGCCGATTACTTCTTTTCCATCTAAAAATAACTCCAACCCATCCAATACGGGTTTTTTCTATTTTTTCAAGAAATGCGAGACTTACATAATTCAAACTTGTTTCTGAACAATCTCTCCTTCAAGTGTGAATTTATCCATTATGTTATCTCTCAAGCGGAAGGACACACCGCCTAACCACCACCATGTCAGGAAAACTTTCAATATAAAAAGTTGGTCCCTTAATTGAACCATCGACTCCAATACCACTATTGGGTCATCATGAGAGGAAAATCCCTATTGGGTCAAAGACTTACCTAAAGGTTAAAGAATTGTCCAAACAAGTGAGAAAGATACCACATATTCACATAAAACTTTAAGAAAATAGGTGTATGAGCATTCTCACTTATAAAGTGTTCAATCTCCATTTTTTTTCAAGCAATGTGAGACTTACACAATTCGCACTAGTTTCTCAACACACCCTGACAATTTACACATCTCTAACTTCGTTGGCTTGAGCATTAAAGTGTTAACCTTGCAGGCAAAACCCAGTTTTGTCCTACTAGAGACCTACGTGTTTGTTCCAAAAGAAATTCTTATCTATATTTCATAAATCTGCAGATAAATCTTTTATTCTGCACCAGAATAGAAGTGATTGAATTGGATAGATCAAGAAAAGATTCAAATAAAAGATAAGTCATGTAGAATAAAAGAATGTGGTTCAAACTAACACATTAAAAACCTATCCACCGAGGGTTCTAAAATCAAGGGTTCTAAAAACAATATTGTAGGAGAGAAACAATACTTGAGTGATTAATTTGACATCTCTTACCCAAATGGTAATTATGAAGAAAATGGTCTCAAGTATAAAAATAAAGATTAGAGAGAACACTTAAGCAATGATTGTGATTTTAAATTAGGTATGGATTTTGATTCCTTATATGATTTTAAATTTGTAATAATTGAAATGTTTCCTGTAAATGTAATGGAAATTTGGCCTGATGTTGAAACTGAAAAACTTCACCCACCTTTATACAAATATGAATTTTATAGACCTAAAATACTAAAGTTTGGGGATTAGGTATGAGTGATTTTATGTGCTTAATATGTTTTTATGATGTAAAATGGGAATAAAGTAATAAACATCATCAAAGAAAAAAGAAAGAACAATTTAAATAAAAGAGCAAGAAATTTATCATAATTGGCTTAAAAGAATCAAATGTAAAAGAATAATATCAAGGAACAAACTTATCTGCTAAAAGCTCGTCATTTGATCATGTGATCAAGTTTCTTATCTTTACTATGACGAATTATGTAATTTGAGTGTGTTTCCCTCCCAGCGCTAAGATCATACACACATTTACAAAATATTTTAAAACTTCATCTCTTTTAAAACTTATTCTAAAAACCACCTTGGATTTAGTCAAAACAATTTAAAACCAAAGATAATTGATTATTAAGTGTTTGTACTCAATTATGAAACATAACTTGGAAAGTAATCGATTATGGTAGTTCTGTAGTCGATCATGAGACAAAATTTACTTAGTAGTTGATTATGAAGACCTTATAATTAACTATGCTTATGATCTCGAAAAAAAATTATTTGTTGGATCATAATCGATTATGGTTGTAACATAATCAATTGTGGACTAGATCATATTTTTCAAAAATTCCAAACTTGTGTGAATCTTTTACAAAAAGAGGTTTTGTGTTCATTAAAAAAAATATCAGAATTCTGAATAACTACTTGCCTTCCACTCTCACCTCGCTTAAAATATTTTTACTCACACTTCATATATAATTTCAGGGATGTGAGAGTAACTACTTGTGAGATGTTGGATCAAACTCTAGTATGGTCGAAGGGTAGCTTCTGGTTCGACAGGAATTAAGCATGAGGCCGAAGTCTGTTAGCATGTTGCTGTCGAAGATAATGCGTGTTGTAGTCGAAATTTGTTCTAACATGCATTAGTCAATATTGCTAGGTTGTTAGCATATTGGATTGAGTCTTGCTTGTAAGTCCAAGTGTTTAAGTTAGCTTGTACCCTAAGTTAGCTTGTAATTGATAATTGTTAAAAAGTCCATTAGGTTAGTGTACTGTTTTTCTTATAAATAGGATGTTTGTTTCTCAATTTTGATATAAGGAAAAATAGGAAGATAAAATCTTAATTTCAAGAGAGAGAGGTTATTTTGTTATTCTTGTATACTTGTAATCTTATTTCTAAGAGAAAGGAAAGAATAGCAGTTTATAACCAATCTTTGTTGTTCCTTGTTGTTTTACCTTGTCTTCTTTGTTAACCCAAACCCTTGTGTGTTTCTTGATCATTAAGAAATCGTTTATACTTTTTTATAAGGTATACGATTTATAAAAAATTGGTGAGGTGAGCGTGGAGAAGATGCATTCAACAAAGTATGAGATCGAAAATTTCACCGGAGTGAATGACTTCGGTCTGTGGCGCTTGAAGATGAAACCCTTACTAGTGCAGCAGGGTTGTTTGGAAGCGTTGAAGGGAGAGGCAACCATGGACGCTGCGTTAATGACAAACGAAAAGACAGGCATGATCGAGAAAGTCTACAATGCAATATTGTTGAGTCTTGGTGATAAGGTTCTTCGATAGGTATCAAAGGAGACTACAACATCGGGATTATGGGTGAAACTCGAAAGTTTGTACATGACCAAATCTCTGGTGGATCGTTTCTACCTGAAAAAAGATTTATATTCATTCAAGATGAGTGAAGACAAAGTATTGGCTAAGCAGTTGGATATGTTCAACAAGCTAATTCTTGATCTTGAAAATATTGATGTGAAGATCGATGATGAAGATCAATCACTATTGTTGTTGTGTGCTTTGCCCATAACACATGCTCACTTCAAAGAAACTCGCTTGTATGGAAGGGAGTCCTTGACCTTTGAAGAAGTTCAATCAGCCTTGTATTCTAAGGACTTGAACGAACGAAAGGAGCATAAACCTTCGACGGTGGGCGAAGGTTTGACCGTTAAAGAAAAATTCTTGCGAAAGAATGGTAAGTTCGACAAGAAGAAAGGTAAAAGTCAACATAAATCTTATAGTGGCGAAACATTTGGTATTCGATGTTATCACTGTAAGAAGGAGGGTCACACAAGAAAGGTGTGCCCTGAGCGCCTGAAAGATCATGGAGTTAGTCGCAACACAACCATTTTTTAAGATGACTTCGACTCATATGATGTTCTTGTGGTTTCAACTCGCGACTCGAGAAAAAGTGGATTATGGATTCAGGTTGCACTTGGCACATGACTCCAAACAGAAAATTGTTTGAGGAGCT